AACAGCATGAACTTTCTCTCTGGAGCCGACAACCCGAAGCTAAGGTAAAGCTCCCGGCCAACCAACTGTGGACAGACTTCCGAAACATCTTTCCAGAAAGTACTGCTTCTTCCACGTCCCGACATTGTTTTCCTGGAACACATAATTTCATGGTGTGCACTTCTTTCATTGTTTGTAGTTTACATATATAATACAAGTCGCATGTCACTTTGTCCAATGTGTTACTTGTAACTTGTTATCCTTTATTCTTCATTGATAGAATGAAAGACTGGGTTGTGTTATGAGGCAGATGTACATGTAGAAAACAGTGCAGCCATTAGTTAGGACAAGAGGCAAGGAAACACTTTTATTAACTTGTAACCACATATTACTGGATAAAGTTGTGTACATGAGAATACTATTAAGTCATGCAAGTCAAAAGTCATATTTGTCCAACTTAAAAAATTCAAGCAACATTAATAGAACAATTAAATGAAAATGCCAAAAAAATATATGTGTCATATTTACAAGTGACACTAAAAGATTTGACTCCATTACGATACAAATGTATATGTGACAGCTTTAGGCATATCTTCTAGTTTTGCTGTCCTGAAAAGTAGGAGACTGGTACGTGTACAAGATCTGCAGGCTACAAGATGAAAACCTTCATCGTCATATTATTTACAGCCATGCTGTCTGTGATTATACACAATTATGACAAGCCTAAAACTATACTTAGGGTATCAAGGAGTGACTGCAAATTTCAACTGCCAATATTACAAGTAAATTAATGAAGAAGATATCATTAAGATGACAATATCCACCATTTCCAAGCATAACAATGGCTGCTGTCATAGGATTCGTACATTTAAATACTTTGAATAACAACATAGATTCTGAGGTTCTTGCACAGATTCCTCCTTTTACAAAACAATCAATTCCTTATAGTTCTTACAGTTCTTATATATAATGAATGTCAGGTAGTAAAAAGAGCACTCTGAAGTTCATGTATTATCAAGGTAAAGTATAAGCTATCACGCTACAGGCCTGAAAATACCCGCATGAAATTGGCAGGTAAGAAACTGAAAATGCATATAAATGTCTTTTAGAAATGAAGTTTTCAATCTGAATGTCAACTACCATTGCCTGCAAACAGTTTCAGTTTAAGTTTAAATTTAAAGACAAACATATACAATTGCGGGACCTAGCTTTCTCTGTCTAGTTTGCCGCAATATACAAGACAAACACGCATTTATTAAAACATAAGTACATTGTCGATCAATTTACAAGCAGTACTAGTTCTTCAAATGTATATTCTGAGAGAAAATCAAAAGAGGCACACTGGGTGTTTAACATGACTACTTCAAAATTTCTCTTCATGCAGAAACATTTTTCCTCTCAGCAAGTAGTGACATCAACATTGCGACTTGACTATCTTTCCTGTTTGGCGGTGTTCTCCCCAGAGCAGAAATCAATGAACATAAAGTTACACAAGTCAACTGTTGAACAATGGTTTTCACATAGTCTGGGCTGTGGGAAGTAAAAAGAAGATGTACATGCTCAAGAGCCTCTTTTGTCTTTCCCTCAAACACAAGATTGGAAATCATTCCATGTACAGTAGAAGAGGAAGACGCTTTGCGCTTAGTTCCTTCTTCTGAGTCGCAGTGCTCTTAGCACTTTGACTACTTGAAGAATGTGTGGCCTGCCTTAATGTCATACTAGATTTAGATGGCAAAAGGTCCTCCTGTTGCCTGAAACGTTTCTGTTTAGACTTCAGAAACGTACAGACAACATGTTGGAGGAGGCCAACTTTGCTGGACAGTGGTTCATCTGGTACTGAACAGGAGTGCAACATTTTGAAGTATTGCTCCCGCAGATACCTGCACTGACTTAACTGTGACATGACATGTTGCAAAGTATTATGTTTGTTCACATTCTTCAACATACGACTTACTAAAGTATCCAGGATACAGAAGAAATCTATCACAGGAGGATGTACTTTGACAAGAAACTTGTCATCCTTCTTGACATCATAACATAACTTCTTCAAAATACACATCATGGAAGTATTATTAGCATAACAGACAGTTGGGTCTGTGGAAGACGTTTGGAGCTTACATGTCCCATCTGATACTTTAATGCTGTCTCTGACCGACTTAAGAACCCACCCACTATGGTACTCTCTTGTTTGCCTTTCAGATTCAGAGAGCACAGGCAGAGAGACAGGAGTTTCCAGTTCATAACTGGTAGAAGGAGGATTGAGCAGAGATGAAGGAGCAGAGACGAAGCGTGTAGTCCAGAGATGTTGGAGCACAAGGTTGAGAAGAAGCTCTACGTCATGACAAGAGAAAGGAAAGTCATCCAGCAGTGTGTCATGTGGACCTTTAGATGAAGAAGAAGGAGGAGAAGAAATGTTGGAAGAGAGGGGATGGAAAGCAGGCAAAGCTGTAGGAGTACTGTAGGAAAGGTCCTTATGTACAAAGGAAGCCGACTTGTCAGAGCAAACAGAGTCAACAGTATCAGAAGTTACTGGCTCTCCAGTAGAACCATATGTGTGGTCACATGTTTCATTATTATGCTTTTCCGTCACAGATGTTACAGAATATGTATGATCAAAATCAAAACCACTGGACTCGTGTACAGGTTTGAAAACATCAAACCAGTGCTGTAGGATATCAGGATGAGAACGTAGTGAAGCAAACTGTTGTTCGATAACAATATCTCTCTGTGTCTGATGAGACTTAGGAACTCTACATGCAAACTGGTGACATGACTCAAAATGATGTGTTAAAGTAGAAACAAAAACATTACAGGACTCTCGAACTGAAGTATTGCTCTCAACATTGTCAACCAGAGAAGAAGCCAAGTTATTGTTGCGGTCTGAACCTAGATGGTGCAAGAAGGACACAAGACGAGGTGTGCTAACTCCAGGAAAGCTACATGTTGAGCTTGGCGACACATGATGTGGTGGTTCTTCAAGGTGGAGTGAAGCAAACTCGGAGTCGGACAAGCAATTCTCATCAGAAGAAGACATTCTGAGTGACGTCTCTACGAGTGCTGCGCCTCGGCTACATTTCTGCCATAAGTGTCTTTATTCTAGTAGAAGTAACATGGGACTTTCAGGTTTGTCTTTTGGTTTAAACATTGGACAAAATGACATGGATCCATAGAAATTGTGCAATGACAGTTTTATCGTGCAACATTCTTAAAGTATTTGTGCATGTGATGCCTTTATTTTAATATTTACCGTGACTGGTTTGTTAGGAAGATTTCATTACTAGTCAGGTTGTGAAGATGGTGCAACAATATCGATGTGCTTTTATAATATATATCAAGAGAGACACAATAATGACACTGACAGTGTAGTTTAAGGTAATGTGGTCTTTACTGGTGAAATTGCAGTGATTTTACAGTGCTTTGTGGAAATGAATGTTACCTTGTGAAATACTGTAGCCCAGTTCTTACATTGAAATAAAGAAGATTCCTGAAAAGAACAATGGACTTTTAGTTTGCATAGTACATTAGATGAGCATGAGTTACACAATAAAATTGTTGTAAATAATAAAGACAAATTGATTTACATGCTTGTCCTTTGGTCATTTGTAATTTAAACTATATACATACTGCCTATATTCATAGACGAATTAGGCATATGTATCTGTGGATAATGCATGGGCCATTTTCGATACTGGTAAAAGATAGTGATACAGGCCACTTGTAATGTAGACATGACAGACATATGTTATGACATGATCCCGACGTGATAACTATATTGTACGGCTGGATGAGGTGCAATACGAGGACACTTAACACGCATGTACTTTGTAATTGCCGATTAAACGTTGTCACTCTTATCTATGAAGCATACCTGTTAAATTCGTGAAATAAAATCAGAGATTCGTAGAAATAAAAACAGACGATCGCAGCTTCAAAACCAGGCCTGTTCAAAACATTAAATTTGCCGCGCTGTGACCTTTCACCTGAAGAGTAATACCCATCATCCTGTGCGAAACCCTTGCAACGAGCCTCACTTTCGTGACGGGCTTCGTCTCCACTCCCCTTCTATTTGACTCCATGGTTATTCTAGAATTTTTCCGTCGCTAGGGCTGGGCCGCGCAGGCGCACTAGTAATGGAGAATAGGCTTATTGATAGTTCACCCGTACCTTTTGTAAGACCAGGGTATTCTTGCCAGATTCTTTTCAACTTTAAAGGGATATATAATGTTCATTAATTTAACCCTATCTAGACCGGGCTTTTTTGAGCAAGATTTGACCGGGGGGAGGGGCTCTTTCGGCCCCCCCCTCAGAACTCGCTAACGGTATGTCGTATGGCTCCTAAATTTTTAGAGGATGGTGTACTAGTTAAAATGTATCATATTTACAAATTTGTTGTCATTATGACGTAATATGACGTCATTAATGTGATTTTATTGGCCAAAACCGTCTAGATAGGCTATTCCCTGAAAACTAAATGGTATACAACATAACTTTACCAAAAGTGTTTATGACAGAATATTAGAGTGTACTAAGTCTTATGTTGTCCATTGCAACACCGGTGACGTCATAAAATGACGTCATACATATTTAAGATATCCGCCATCTTGGATCATCAATGTTGAATTTTCAAAAATATTTTTTTTCGTGATAAAGCCTAAAATACATTGTAAACATACCATTCATTTAAGACCTTCATTTAAACCTTTTTTTGGAAAAAGAAATGGAAGTATTGATAAAATTTTAAGGAAAATAACTTGTATATACCTGTTCTAATGATATGGTCCGCCATCTTGGATTTTGGCCAATGACGTCATCAAATTAGCATAAATTATGCATATTTAATGATAAAATTTACATAAATTCATATGGGATGTTATTAATATTAGAAACCATGAGTAATTTGACATAAAACCCATAAAATTCTATTGTTGAAACTAAAATTACTAAATTTAGCAAAAAATGCCTGTCAGAAACCCGTTGCCATGGCAACACAAAAAATTACTATCTTATTCCAATGATAGAAAATTGTTGCCAACAATATTTTAGGAAAAGTCACCAAGTTTGGTCTTTCTAGCCCTAGCCATTCAGACGCTATGTGACATCAAAGTTGGCGCGGGCACTTTTAGCCCCCCCCCCGGTCTAGATAGGGTTAAAGTTAATCTTTAAATCCTACCCCATATAAAAGATTTTAGTGTTACCAAAGAAGCTGATCTTGATGACGTGTGCCTTTATCTCGACAGACTGGCTTATACATTGGGGGTACCTAATAAGTCCCTATAGGTGGCCTACCACTGTAGGCTGGTATTGCTGCCAAGACCAAGAGTTGGCACCTCAAACTAAACGTGCATTGTTTCCATCAGTCCATATCCTGTTTTCTTTTCTCCAGTAAACAGGACCTGTAGGGAAGTATTGAAACAGAACTCCAAGATTCACCGAGTGTTGTGGGACGAGATAGCCCGTCATCACGAGGACCTGGACCGCGAGAACCCGCGAGACTTCCTGGACTTCTGCCTGCTGGAGGTTGAGAAGCAGGAGAAGGTGGAGGGTCTGACGGAGGAGAACGCCCTGTACATGGCCTCGGAACTCTTCTTTGCAGGAACTGACACAACCAACAACACACTGCTGTGGGGTCTGCTCTTCATGACATTGCACCCTAACATCCAGAGTAAGGTACTGGCCAGCAGAATATGTTACCCTGTTGCTCTATCTCAGACTCATCAAAGCCCTAATCAAATCTCTGGAAATTAATAATACTTTTTCTAGCATTTTCCTTCATTTGCATTTCCTCACTAGCCGCCTAACATTCTCATTTCTTGCGACTTCTAGAAAAGTTACACGATTTTTCTACAAATAATGTCAATACAACTTCACTTAAACAGAGCGGGCAGAGTAGTATTAGGGTGTGACTGCTACACCTCCAGTGCAACTGTTCTGAACTTGTTAGGCTGGACCTCGGTAGCACAGCACCACAAACGAGCCAAGGCTACTTTTATGTTCAAGGCACTTAATGGAATGTCACCTACACACATCTCTCAACTATTTACATCATCTGCTGGTACCCACACATACAGCACCCGACTAAGCACACAGAGGGGACTTAAGCTACCAAAAGCTCGCTTGCAGTACAAAAAGAGATCGCTTTCTTTTTCCGGTGCAGTCCTCTGGAACTCACTTCCTCCTCATGTCAGAAATGCAAAAACTCTCAGTGTCTTTAAGACTACCTTTTCTTCACTCAGCAGTTAATATGATTTCTTTGTTTAATTTTCTATTTTGCTTTTAGACATTGATATGCAAATTCAGTTTCATTATCATTTATATCATTTGTCATATTTATTTAGTATGTTTCTGTACTTTATTAGTCTGTTCCGTTTCTTTTATCATAACTACCTTTTGATTGTACTCAAGTTGTTGGTGAGGGTCTGCCCGCCCTGTCCCACCGTTCCCAGCTGTCCTACATGAACGCCTGTCTGCTGGAGGTTATGGGCCATTGCACCTCTCTTGGTTCCCCACTCTAAGATTTTATTAATAAACAGGTGCAGCAGGATCTAGATGCCGTTGTTGGTAAGGGTCTGCCCGCCCTGTCCCACCGTTTGGTACTGCAGCGGAACTTGCGGTTTTCATATATTGCGTTCTGGACATGCTTGGGTCATTAAGTTGGGATGGAAGATAGCTCTTGGGATAGGTAAGTAGTCAAGTGATTTTAGGCCCCCTAGAAGCTTGTTCTAAAACTGCAGAACGCCGGTTTGTTTAAAACTAAGATAACTAAAAAAAAAACGATTGACGTATCGTCGTGATTTTCGGTATGTAGGTAGCTTAAGTGATACTTGACATAATTAGATTACAATTTCCAAATCATGATCTAATTTGTATAATCAATAGGGAGATTCTATAAATCTACTGTGTTCGAAATTACCTTGTCGGGACATCACGCAGGCGAGGGGAGATGCAGCGTGTGGGCTACAGACGAGATACGGCCTGCTCCTGGAGGAGTCCAGCGGGGGACGGTCCACTACATATGCAGAGGGTTTTTTCCACGCAGGGATGGGTTTGGCGTAGTATGCAAATTTGGTAGTTAGTGCCAACCGCCTTCTTGTATTTATGAGCGTGTTTGGAACGGGTACGAGTAAATGTTGGAATGAGACGAGTGGGTTGCATCATCATCAGCCTAAGTTCGACGCCTCTCCTCTACTTTGGTGTTAGAACCTGATCAATTATCTAGTAACTAGCACTTGTCCTGCTGACATTCCTGGCACAATATTTTTCACTAATTTACTGTCTTAACTAGATCATGGACCCCCATTTTTTTCTCTGCAGTGGCATAGTTACTTCCACATTCGTTGCGTTTTGCTGCGGTGTGATGCGTTGCACGAGAAACACCCCCAAATACAGGGTGCTATATAGATGGTACTGTATGTGTAGAACAACAATTGTTGTGCTCCACAGGACAATATATATTTCGGACAAAAAAAACGTCTCAAGACAATTGCGCTGTGTTGTAACTTTTATTAATGGTGCAGCTTAAAAACTTAATATTTGTGATGGTACAACTTCAATGAAAACAAATGAAGCAAATCACCAATGCTAAGCAATATGTAACGAAAAAGCAGTTGTTTTGTCATCATAAGGATGATACTTGTAATACCATGCTTATCGTTTATTATAGACCACAGCTTAAAAACATATTTGTTGTGATGGTATGATTTCTTTAAAAGCACTACAACATTCGTCTGCCGTCCCAATGCTAACCAGTGTAAAATGTTAAACATTTGTTTTCTCGTCAAACGATTCTTACATGTCTTCAGCCTCTAAATAGCACAGTTACAAAAACTTTATCTTTATGAGGT